ATAAATCCAATCTCCTCTTCTTCTGCAAATGGCATGCCGAGTACGTTTATCAGAGCAGCAGCAATGGTGCAAAAGAAAGGCCCATAGCCCCATCTTTTGTGACCGAGGTCGGCATCAGCATATGTCGAGGTGGAGCAGATGTTGGGGCCCGAGGTTTCTGGCAGGGCCAACGCCGCCAGCATTTACTTGCTAGCGCTCCCCTGTTCATGTTCTCTGCTGCACACACTACCCAGTGGACATGGGCACTGGAACTGTTTGTGAACAGACAAGGGAAGGAAACACAAGCAGGTGGGAGGCATGTGGGAGGGTAGGTGGGCATGAGTGCCCAGTGGTGGGCAGAAGAGGGGGCCCTGGGCACTGTCTACACAGGCGTCCCTAAAACCTGGAACCAGCTCTGTTGGTGGCTTTGATGTCACATTGACTGGTATGCAGTCCAAGCTGTGCAAATGTAAGGTCAGGAAACAGACTGGCATCCACCCAAGTCATTTGACCCATCGGGTTACGGGCCCAGGTGTCAAATAGCATATCAGAAAACGTGCAAAGAGCCACATTGTGCCGTTGACGTCATGCCCCGACTGATCTAAGCAGTCCGATGAATTTCATATTTCGGCAGGACCAACGCGAGGCAGATCTTTTTAATAAGGACGAGGCAAGACTCGAGCTTTGCGACAGATTGTGTGCAGTTGTGTTAACCACCCCCTCAAAAAAAACCAAAAAACACCACACAGAGACATTTCAAGAAAAGGATATCACATTGCTTTATTAGAGGATGGAGGTTCTTTTTTTTTTTTTAACCAAAATCCGAGAACAGATGGCATCTCTAACAGAAGACATTTGCAACTTACAACACTGAAACACAGGCACATGGATTTGCCTGCTGTCGGCCTGAATCGGCGATCAAACCGTCTCTTTCGTATCTTTCTCGAACGCTTGCAGTTGTGCCAGTGCTTAGTGGGAGGCATTCTGCTTAAAACTGATGCAAACTCTAAACAGGAATCAATATGGAAATGGTTGGGAACAACATCTATTGGGGGGGGGAGGATAAACATGTGTTCATATAGCAGGCACGGAAGAGCCAAGGAATTACGAGATGTTTTAACAATTAACCAGCAGGCAAAGGATCTTGAGACACGTTCCAATAGGACAATTTCATACACAAGATCCAACAGTGCACACTGTTGTTCAGTAGAGCTTGCTCACTAGGAGATACAACCCCCCCAAAAAAAAAAAATTGTGCTTTTGCATTTCATGAAGATAACGGCAACGGGAATACGATTGCTTATTCCCGAATCCCTGAAAGTCATTTTGCAAATTCAACTGCCCCTCTATCCTCTGCTCTTTACAGTTTTGCTACATAAATCTGTTTTCAGCGGCGTGGATATCCTTTCGATTTATTACAAAAAGAAAAAGAAAAGAGGCTTGCTCGATAGTATAAATTGCCTGAGCAAATTAAATATCATTTATATATATATATATAGTCGATAGATATATTTTTTTTAAAAAAAGGCGTAGTAAAAAATATAGTCCCCTTGTCCGAAGGAAAGATAATACTCTTGATACAGTGGGAAGAAAATAATACAGCTGAGTGGGCTACTCTCCGATTTGCCTCCATCCCATAATAAGTACTGCAAAAGAATCCCTCCAGGGTTTTAAGGGCATTTCAGAGACCCCCAATGTAGCCTTGAGGAGCCAGCTCTGAAAAGGCAACGCATGGCACAGACCTTGCGTAAAGACCAGGAAATTATGCTCCAGCAGTGCGCAGAAGGTCCGTGGTTCAGAGCAGAGTCCATGTTCTTTAATGCATAAGGTCCCAGTTCCTACCCGTGATACCTCCAGGATGGCAGAGCCTAGAACAGGGATCCCCAACCTTTTTGACCTCGTGAGCGCCTTTGTGATTCTGACGCAAGTTGGTGGGCACAACCACCAATGGGCCGCCGTGGGAGACAGAACCAACCGCACACTGAGGACGCCCGAGTGCGGAGGAGAAAAAGGATAATTTTTTTAAAAATACATTGGGAAAGTGGAGAGAGATAGAGAACGAAACCGACGCTACAGTGGTCGTTGTCGCCGAAATGATGTTTAAAAACTATCTGGGCAGCCAATCAGGTCTGTAGTGGCCGATTAAGCACCCTGCTACCGGGCAAGAGTTCCACCTGGCCCCACCCACTTTCCAAAAAAAATCTTGGTGGGCACTATGAAAGGTGATGGTGAGCACATGGTGCCCACGGGCACCGTGTTGGAGACCCCTGTCCTAGGAGGACCTTTCTCTGCCCAAGACTTTGGAGAGCTGCTGCCTCTCAGTGCTGGGCTACACAGACCAATGACCTACGCGCATCAATAATGTGTATGCATTTAACTCGTGTGACTTGGCATTTTGCCTAAGCCTTTGATTATGCTTCCCCCTGAGCCAGTTCAATGGGATTTAAACTGATTAACAGCCTGATCCTAAATACGTTTACTTACTAATAAATCTTGCTCAACTCATCATTTTTGCAATGAACATGGCCCATTTCTGACGAAAGGGCTCCTTCTGGTCAAACCTTCATTGGGCTGTGACTCAAAGAGTGATGAACACATGGAATTCACTGCCACAGGAGGTGGTGGCAGCTACAAGCATGGACGGCTTCAAGAGGGAATTAGATAAACATATGGAGCAGAGGTCCATCAATGGCTATTAGCTACAAGGCATAGATAGGAACTCTGGGGCAAGTGATGCTCT